GCCGCGGGTCTCTGGACATCACTGCTTGCTTTTACAGAGGAAAGCGATTGTAGCGTCAGATGACCTCCTGTTAGTTCCACACACAGCCCACATACTCAGTACCACCAAGCTGTCCACCTACAAAAATGGGCAAGATAAGACCACGGTAGCACGTACCTGTCATCCCAGCAGCCGAGGGACAGAATCAGGAGTTTGTTCTTAGCTACATAGTGAGCCCAAGGCCAGCCTGGGCTACAGGAGACCCTGATTCAAATAAACAATAACGACAACAAAAAGGTGGAGAGGAGGAAGCAGGGCAAGCTGGGTGTGGTAGTTCACATCTGTACTCCCATCCCTCCGGAGGTGGACACGGGAGATTGGACGTAAGTTCTAGGCCAGCCAGGGATACAAAATGGGACTGTCCAAAGAGTTGAAAATTAAAAATGTTAAAGAATGCAGTGGTAAATCTTGTGCTTACTTCGCCACTATAAAAGTGAAGTAAAACAGCTGACAAACGGAGAAGCCAGAACGCACACGAGCAAAGCCTCCTTGTTTATCTCTGATGCTGATCCCTCCAAACGCCACTTCTGTTACTGGAATCTGGGAGGAAAGGTCAGGGTGCAGACTTCCACTCTGCCTCCAGGGGGCAATGTTGCAAAACCTCTTTGGGGGAGCCAGGCTTTTCCTCCTAATGAACTCTTTCTTCGCAGCCTACTCTGGGTCCCTCTGTCCACACCTTTGCTCCCACCTGTGTCCCCACCAGGGTCGTCTTCCCAAGGACACAAATTACTAGTAACTGTAACCCCATACTTGACTCTTTTTGAACACATCAATTTATGTCATTCTTCCAAAGTCAGAGAAGAATGGGACCCCTTCCAAGCCATCTCCCTATTTTATAACAAAGAGACTGACAACCAGGCAAAGGCAGGACGGATTAATGCCAGCATAGAGTTGGCAGAGTAAAAACTGGGGGTCCAGGCTACCTGGTACCCAGTTGGACCCCCTAAAGCATCCACAGAGCCCCAGCTGTTAACACTGATGGCCCCCCGCCAGTCTGCTATGTTTCCAGTTTGCCCTTGAGCTGGGAGGTTGGGGGCTTCCTTCCTGGTGATTTGTTGCCACGGGGCCATCAGTCAGGTCGGGCTGACCTGATGAGCACCTGCTGTGATTGACTTCCTCCCCTTCCTCATGCCTCCAGTCATCACCGTCGTCATGGCTGCCGTATTAATAATGAGCCTGCGTCTGCTCCGCTCTCAGAACTTAGCCAGCACTAATCCATCCATCAGCTCATCCTAGCCTTGACAGCTCTCGGGAGGCATTTCACAGACAAGGGCACGCAGGATCAGAGAGGGCAAGCCGCAGGCTCCGAGCCGCCCAGAGAAGGCCTCTCTGGAGAGAGAAGTCTGCCTCCTTGGAGTGAAGCTGCCCGCTCTCCAGGGAGATGGGGCACAATGACGATGCTCTGTGCGGTTCTGCCAGGAGGTTCCTTATCTTTTTTATTGCAGAGGAGGACACTGGCCCTCAAAGAATTCTTGCTGGGTCAAGATGGGAGCATCCAGTGCCTTAAAAGTATCAGGTGATTAAACTCCTGCTTTCTGGGAAACGGGCCTGATACTTCTAGAGGAGGATGTGATTTCTAGCCCAGCATGGAGGCAGTGGGACCCAGGGGAAGGCTGCTGAGACACAGAGTCTAGGGTGAGTGACACTCCCATAGTCTAGAAGGTAGAGAGCAGTGTTTAGGTGAGTTAAGCAGCCTCAGCAAGCACCAGTGGCTGAGCAGGTTGGAAGTGTCAGGGGCCGGGCTGAGCCAAGGGCAAGAGTTCATGGCACGGCCCCTCCCAGGGCCCCCTTTATCCAGCTGGCCTGCAGACCATGGTGTGCTGGAAATGAGCTGCATCAGGATGGAGAGGACCAGAAAAGGGGAGGCCCTGACTCTAAGCAGGATGGAGGCTGTTTCTCCTCTCCTGGCCAGGGAGTAAAACCCAGAGGGAGGTAGACAGCCGCTCCTCTGCTCGCCGCTCTGAGAAAGTCACCTCTCTGACTGGCAGGTCATGCCTGTTCTCTTAGGAGAGGCAAGCATAACATTCATTGCCTTCCCTGGACAGAGCTAATGAGCCACAGGTGAAGCAGATCTATATCACAGGGATCTGAGCACAAGGCAGCATCTAAGGCTGGGAAAGCCCGGGCTAGGCTCACTGAAGACCCCCATTTACCACCCAGCTAGCCTAGAGCTCATTTATAGATATCCGCCTTGACTGGAAGTCTAGAGGGAAGTGAGAGCAGAGGTGCTGAGGGCGCAGTTTAGACTGTTTGGGGGGAAGGTGCCTCTAAACTATCCACTGCCTTCTTGATCCTCTGAGCAAAGTCCCAGTGTCTATCAGGACCTTCCTGGAGGTTGGTGGTTTGAGGCCATAAGTACTTACCAGATAGTAAGACTGGGTCCTGCGGAGCAGAGAATTTGCCCAGTATCCCGCAGCAGGGTTGTGACAGAGCTGGGACCAGAACATAGCTCTGTAATCTCGTTCCCTGCATCCTTCTCACGAATCCCAAAGCAGATGGCTTCACAAATGAAACCTCCTGTTGTGCCAGGTTTACAGAAAGACCCGTCTCTACTTGGGCTACTCAGAGAGAAGGACTCAGGTTCTGCCAACAGCTTAGGGTTTACAATGGCACCAAGCTTGGCATGAACCACAGGACTGTGAGAACATCGAGGACCCTGGGAGCTGCAAAATTTTGCAAACCATGCCAGCAGCAGGAGACACTAAAAAACGGCATCAACTTTTGCAAACAATGGGATTCTGCAGATGGTGTTGGGATCCGCACACCCAGTGGGGCTGTGCAAAAAGCACAGGTTGCAACAAACACCAGCGCTCCCAAGTACACTAAGCTAGGGAGCAGGGCAGTATCACGAAGCTTAGAACTTCTGTAGATAGACCCAACTGAACTGTTAGTTCAGGAACTGGTTTGAAGGCCTGTTATCTCAAGTTTCGTAAGCTCGTGTAGGTCCCTGACCTTTGGTCCAGCTAAACACACCTGAATTCAGGAATATTCTGGTTCCATATAAAAAAAGCTAGACTTTAACCCACATCCCACTGTCTGCAAAGGTCCTCTTCTGGAGATGGCCTTGGGCTCTGTTCTGTATCTTGAATCTGGGCAGATTCTTCCTCTGAGAAGACATCCTGGGATGATGGGGCGGGGGGGGGGGGACATGCTTCCCCCAACTCATGGGGTGCTCTGTGGCAAGTGACTGAGACTCTGATTCATCTGTGAAATGGGGGACCTCCAGCCTGCTGGATGAAAGGGACCCTAGGGAGCCTCACGTGCAGGCTCTGCTATGCAAACCAACTAATTTCTCCCCAGCCTGGTGAAAGTCCTACCTCCTGCCACTCCCTCCAGCTTGGCCCCTGGCCCTCGAGGTTGGCTTCTTTGTGCATTTATTGCTTCACAATTCACGTCAGCACTGCGATGGAGAGTTTCTGTCTCTGATGATAAGGTTACTGGCACTCAGAGAGGTACAGGGACTTGCCCGTGACTCCTCATCCCTTGGCTGGGGCCAGCACTGGGATGGAACCATTCCTCCAGCTATCTGCAAGGCCTCTGTCCAGACATTTCTAAGAATTTCACATTTACCCTTTTGTCTTGCTTCCTTTTTCCCTCGCTTCCTTCCTCCTTCCATCTAGATCACTGCTTGATGGAGTTTTGGGGGCCCATGATGTTTTGGGGGAGAAGCTGTTTGTTAATCTGAATCCTTGGGACAGATGGGAAGGGGCAGCTGTTAGTGAGGGATGAGTGGGGGGACAGGGGACAGGAGTGTAGTAAAGGAGGAGCAAGGCTCAGAGGGAAAACATGGGCTTCCTTCAGAGCTCACAGAGGGCCGGGGAGACAGCAGCCCCACAGGCTGCAGCAAAGAGACTGAATGTTCTAGAAACATTTGTCTCCTGAATGGCCCTGAACTTAAGAAGAACCATCTAAGGCTTCTCACTCTGTTCTGCTGTTAACCAAGGAAACTATCCTAAGAGCGAGAGCTAGGAAGTAACCCAGAAAAGCCTCAGGGTGGAGGCAGCTTCCCGCCAGCAAGGGGGCTGGACCTAAACAAACCCGCCTTCTTACAACTCTGGCCCTGGGCTGTCCCGGCTGGAGATCAGACGAATTCATGGAGCTGCAGAAGACACTACAAGGGTCGGGGCTAGGAATCAGACAAAGGAGCAAGTGCCTGGAGTCCTCAAGAAGGGCTCCCATTGAGCAGGGTCCCTACCACCTCTGCCTTGAGGGCAGTGGCTGTCCAGTGAGGGCAAAAAAATAGCCTAGTGAGAGACAGTCCTATGTTGATGCTCTCAGAAGCTGTCTCCAGGGGACCCCTAACAGGCTCATTTCCTCTATACTGAGCTCCAGGTTGAAGGAGAGGCCACAGCTCTCTGCATTCCCCCAGCCATGGGGCCCAGAATAGGTAAGTGCAGGTGAAGGGAGGGAGGGAATTGGGAAGGAGCCTGGGAGCTTCATCAGCCTTTGGGGTGAGATACAGCACCTCAGTGCTGTACTGGGAAGACAGGCTCAGTTCTGCACAGAGCCTGTGGAACTCAGGGTGGATCTATGAGTGAACTAGAGGGGCAGGAAGAGAAGCCAGCTGGAGGCAGGGAGCCCATCCAAACCACCTTGGTGAGCTCAAGACCTGAGTCCTGCCCAGCCACCAACATCTGATCCCCCAGAAAGACAGAGGCGATGTAGACATGAATGGACAAGGTAGGGAACCACCAAGACAGAGCAGAGAGAGGCCGTGGGGAGAGAGCATATGACCAACAGGTGTCAGCAGAACTCAGGCATTGGCTGAGAGGTTGGCCCTAAAGGAAGGTGACCGTGGAGACCCCGAGGGACAGAAAAGGAGACTGTGAGTGTGAGCCAGAAGAGCAGAAAGCCATCCGTCCACAGGGACAGATGACCCAGGCGACTGACGGACTTTAGCCATAATCCACAGGAGCCGTCCAGAGTACAGGACACTCAGAGAGAGGCCTGCGTACACTCACCTGTGGGTAGATGGCAGTGGGCTAAGAGGAGGCTGGAGCAAACATCCAGAATCTTCCACAAACCAGGCTTGGAATGGCGTAAGGAAAGCACCAAGCAGCCAGGGCAGAGAGACAGACCACCTGTGACAAGGTGGCTGGGCTGGATGCCCCGCAATAACCCTTTGGGCTCCCTGCTGCTGCCTGTCTGCAGCACTGTCGAACTCACACCCATTCAGGCAAGGCCAGGCTTGCTCCCAGGCGGCCACAACCAAGGCTTCAGGCCAAACAGACTCTGCAGTGTGACCAATGCAGCTTGGGGACCCCAGCACACCAGGAAGGGTGGGGATGGATGCTTCCTCCCAGGAGGCCTCGTGGGAGAGAAGAGGATGAGGTCAGGTTTGAGGAGGTGGGGCTAGTTGTGGTTTTGGTGACACAGGATTTTGGTTGTAGCTCAGGCTCACCTCCAACATGTCATCCTCTGGCCTCTGCCTGAAGTGTGCAAGGATCACGGGTGGGTACCACCGAACCTGACATAGTGGGATGGTTTCAATGAGTTTATGGGCCATTGACAAAAAAAATTCCCATTCCCATTCTCAGTATGAATGGGGGGGGGGGGGATTGGAGGCCTGTAGCATGAGAAAAAACTAGCACCCTCAATTCTACACCTGCCTCTCCTCCCCATAAAGGCTAGGCTGTGGGTCCTCGAACTGATCCCTGACCCATAAAGAACAGGAACTTGCCCCACGTCCTCCCACTGAGTCAACAGAAGTCATCTCCAACTGTGCTTCCTCAGGGGCCATCTGGGCTGAGGCCAGGCTTCATAGAGCGGGTAGAGGGATGAAGGGAGGCAGACATATGTATCTCCCACAGAGATAACCCGCCAACTTACACGTACCCTTAGGCAGCAGGCAGAGTTCTCCTGTCTGTGTGGCGAGGAAACTAATATCCCCACACTGTTTCCATGGTGAGATCCAAGGAAGCCACTCTCTGGCTCAGAGAGTCCCTACCCACACACAGCATTTCCCTGGGAAATTTGACACTCCCTACCCCTCCAAATGAAGCGTACCTGGGGTCCTCCCTCCAAGCTAGAGGAAGCCTCTGTTAGCCCCGCTGAACAACGGACACACACACACACACACACACACACACACACACACACACACAGCCCAGTTCATCTTTCCTCGCTCTAGGCGTGTGTGGCAGCTGTTGCTTGCTCTCTCTGGCCCTCCGTGTGCAAATGAGGTCTTCCCAGGGCAGATATGGGAGTTGAGGGAAAGAACCATGAGCCTCATGTTCAAATCCAGCTCTGTCCATGGACGGTGCGAGACCCCAATGAAATCTCCCTTCTGTTTTAATGGATGAGGAAACAGACACTCAGAGAGGGCAAGTGACTGTCTCAAGATCACCCAGCAGCTAACCAGCAGAGCAGAGGTCAGAACACCGATCTTCCTAATATTAAGGCTCTCTCCTCTATCACTTGCCTGGGTCTTTCTCTGTCTTCTTTACTCCATACTGGTGAACTCCAGTGTGCTGTATACTACTCCACTGGCTCCTCACAAAGCAAATGATTTTCTGGGTGCCACTGGCTAGGGAGCAAACGTGGGGGTATGTGTGTTATTTCTTCCATGACTGGTCTAGGGAGTGCCAGGTAGTGAGCTGAATTTGACCTTAACAGAGGGCGCCATGTAGCCAGTCAGTGCTCAGTTTGCCTAAAACAGTCCCTAAATGGGACTGTTTCTGTGTTCACAGTAGGTGGCAGGGATAGTCCCTGGGTCCCTGGTGTTTGTAGAAGCTTGGTCTGTGGAGGGGGCAGAAGAGCAGAGGCCTCTCTGCAGGGACTGAGTGGGCTTTAACATCAGTGTGGGTGATTGAATTATGGGGGAGTTATAAGAATGGTGCTGCACCCCCATAGGCTGTAGCCATTGCTCTGGAATGTTAGGGAAGGAACCCACCCGAGGGTTGGGAAGATTGGGGCATGAAGCTTGATTCCATCCATCCCTGAGGCCTTGGACCCAACCTGGACTGGACAGAGCTGGATCGACAGGAATACTCAGTGAGTGAACATTATGTCTGAGGTCCTAGCTCTGCGATGTCCATTTATGGAGTCAGAAACAGGAGCCACAAGAGTAAAAACGCCAACACTTTCAATGCCTGTGGTATAGGCCTCTCATCCTAGCTACCCAGAGGTGGAGTCAAAAAGTTCAAGGTCAGCCTGGTGACCTCGATCAGTGGTAGAGCATGTGCCTAGCGTGCCTAGTGAGCACAAGGCCCTAAGTTCAATGCCCAGGATCACAGAAAAGATGAAGAAAGAAAAGAACACCAGAGAAAGAGAGAGGGAGATCAACCTGAAATGTTGCCTCATAGAAGAGGATATAAAACTAACTGTTTTTCTAATTTCAACTGTTTTATTTTCCTTTTTCTGCGGTGCATTAAAAAAAAGTAATTGATAGTGAAAGTATAGAACCCTGAACGAAGCTATGGCTTCCTTCAAACTATGTAGAAATTCACTGAGCTCTACAGTTTGGAACTGGGCAAGTACCTGAATGACCATTTTAATCTAACTGTATGATGTTTTTATTTGTAATAAATTTTATTTGAAAATAATACTGAAAAGAAGAAGAAGTCAGAGTTTGAAATATAGTCAAAAACAGTTGGTCAGCAGCTGGGAAGAGTAGTCCACTCTCAGAGGGGGTGGAGGGTGGGATTCGGTGAAAGGAAGTACTAGCAAGGCCTGAAGAGAATGCCCATTCTAGAAGGGCAAATGGACTGGGCATGTTTGTGGGCTCAGTGAGCCACCAGATTAAGAGAAGAGGTCACTGGGAGTTATCTCAGATAATTAAGCCAATGCCAACAAGGGTTCTGACACAAAGACTCACACGAGAGTTGTCATAGACACTAGCCTCAAGCCCCTGGTGTGATAGAGGAGGTGAGAAGGCTAGTGGCCTTGCTTCAGTGATCTGTGCCCTAGGAATGCTCACCACAACCCTACTCGTGTGTCTCAGCTTCGTGAGTCCAAGTCAGACTTCTGTCCAGTTTACAAACGAGGAAAACAAGGCTGGGAGGAGCCAATGACCTGCCTCGGGTCACACATGGGGTCAGAGGTAGAGCCAGCAACACCCATGAGCCCTCTGGAGTCTAAGCTCTCAGGGGCTTCCCTTTGTCTTCTTCAGAAACACGCCCAAGGCTCCCAAGGCTCTGCCTGGTGCTCGTGTGTAGCAGCTGAGCCTGACCAAGGCGCCCAGACTCGCTCTGTGATGCAAGAGTGATTGAGTGGATCACTTGGGAGGTCAGCTCAAGTGCTAAGAGAGGCCGAGGAGCTCCCCATGTGAAGGGAGAGGAAGCATGGCCCCGGGCCAATGGCTTCTTGTTTAGACCTAAGGACACTGCCCTGCTTCCCCGTGCACTCAGAACCCCCTCCCCAAGCTCTCGAGTGTCTAAAGGTCATCATGGGTTTAGATGGACTAGTCAGGGCCCAGAACTGGGAACAGAAAGTCCCAGCACAGGGCCCCTGACCCAACTCGGAAACCACCAGAATGCCTGCCCCTCCTCCCCACCCCACCCCAGTCCTGACAAGATCCTTTCCACTGACAGGACACCCAAGGGTCCTTCCAGAAGGAATTTCCCAAAAATGACAACCAAACCCAATTCCTGTCTGGAGACTCCCTCCCTGTTTTCTGTCTTTGACTTTCTCCTTCGCAGTGCTGGGCTGGGTCACACTGGAACTGAAGGCTTCAGGCCCCACAGTCACCCTAAGTCACCGTGGCTACCCCGGCCTCTAGCCCAGGCTCCAGTCTTATCAGCGGTCTCATTCGGGTAAGCTCAACTCAGCTTGCTCTTCAGCTAGGTTGGGGTTGAGAGACGAGATATGATAGGCTGGGGAGGAAGCCAGTCAGTCAAGGGTACGGCATATATAAAGGCCGGGGCAGCATCTGATTAATTCAGGGAACAGCAAGAGCCTATTGGGGCTAGAGGATCGGGTTCTATAGGACTGGGTAGATGAAGCCTGAGACTCTTGGGGGCCTTGAACTTGGGACCAGGATGACTCAACCACCATCCACCACATAGATGCCACCTTTCCCAGACTCAGACACTGTGCCCTTAGTGCTGGGAGCTAGTAGACATCAATCCACGACCTTGAAAGGTAGCTCTGTGGTGGAGGTCCTCTTTCTTTCATCTCTCCGCTGGGGCACAGAGCACGGCAGGTTCAGACACCGGCTTGTTAATGTCAGCCTCAGGTGACCCTCAGACCCCTAGATGTGTGTTTTCAGCTCATGTCTTTTACCTGGAGACATGATCTCCTAGGGAAACCCTGCCTCCCCAGGTCACCATGTTAGTCAACCGACCCTGTGTTCAGTGTTGAGCATGTGGTCATTCTACCCTCCCAGTTCTCAGCGACCAAGCTCACCAGGACAGCGCACCAAGACAGGTATCTGTGCTTCCCTCCACCCCCCTGGCGCCCCTGCTTACCCCATCACCAGGTCCCTCAAACCTCTCCAGCCCTCACCTCTTCTGGGCTCCAGCCTTACCACGTCCATTCCCTATCAACTTTTCTGCTTTTACACCACTACCCTTTTCTGTTTCTTCTTCTGAGAAGCCTTCGGGCACCTCCCATACTAGGCTACGACTTCTCTGATGTTTCCATATCTGCCCCTGAGTCTGTTTGAGGTTCTTTATTGTTAGTAGTAATATATAGATATATCTTAATTATTACTATATATCTATAGATAGATGATAGATAGATAGACAGATAGCTAGATAGACAAATGATAGATAGATAGATAGATAGATAGATAGATAGATAGATAGATAGACAGATAGATAGATAGATAGACAGATGATAGATAGACAGACAGATAGATAGATAGATAGAGTGTGTGTATATATGTGTGTACACATACCACAGCACACTTGACGGTACACTTGTGAAGGTCAGAGGACAACTAGCAAGAGTCTGTTTTCTCCTCCCAACATGTGGATTCTGGGAGTGGAAAGGCAAGCGCTTTTCTCAAATCTTTACTCTCACTTCTAGAATCAGCAGAGCTCCCCACTCTGTGCCTGCCACGGTGAATCTGATAAGTTCTGGGCTCCTTTGGCCTGTTTCTCCACTTTCAAAGTTGTTTACCTAACCCAGGAATCATGCCCAGGTAGCTCCCAAGCCCAGTGTTGCTGAAGAGGGAAGACAACGAAGCCACAGGCAGCGGGGAAGGGGCCCAGGAAATGGTCCACAGCCACCCCCAACTGAGGCTCCAGCAGGGCCAGCTGCTCTAAGCAGGCACAGCACCACGGACCTCTGAGTCCTCGCAGAGGCTCTGCGTGACAGATCAGCTGATCTTTCAGGGAAAAAAACAACAACAAAAATCTGCAGTTTGAGGAGAAATTTCCTGATTTTTTTTTTTTAAAAAAAATGCTGGCAATGAATTTAAAAACATCCAGCAAGCCAGCAGCTTGCTAGCTTCAAAACAAGTCCCCTGAGTCTGAAGGAGCCTCCAGGCAGGGCAAGTCCAGAGGATGCCATCTGCCTCAAGGGACAAGGCTGAGAGGAGGCCTTGGACCAGGGTTTCCCAGTCAAAACCCCTGCTTCATTGTCTGTGTGTTGTTTAGGTCCCTTTGATGGCCTGGCGTTGTGTGTATGTGTGGGTGGTGCAGTATGTGTGGAGTGGATAAGGGGTGAGTGTGGTGTTTCTTCTTGCACACCAAAGTTA